TTGAAAGATTTAAAACGTTATAACCATGTTCACTCGATTGAAATGAAACTCACACTCTCATGTTGTCGTCTACATGGTCCCCGCACATGATCTGACACCTGCTGTTACGAGGTAACGAAGTCGCCAGTAGATGCCAATCACATTCACCCCAACACTCGTGCTAAAAAAGCCAATCTGAATAATCTTAGATGCTTACAAGATTCCTTAGGAACTCGAAACAATGAACGCAGCGAAAATTTAATGAATTACTCTGGTACCTGGTAGAAGTGGATGTCAAAACTGGACACAATAATGATTGCTGGAACAAAAATGATGATGGCATGAATCGCCATTACGAGAAATGTGATAACCAGGCCCCTTCTGTACGAAGCCGCACCACACAACCCTACCAGCCTAAAAAGTTCTGTTGAACGCCTATTATCTACCGGCTTTGATTAATTTTGTTTGTTCTATCCAACTAACTTCGCCGACATACACTCAGGTTTTCCAAGTTGCTTTTGTGAAGAGTAATCACTTGTTCCCGATATTTCTACTAAAGAATTCGATATTGATGCCTTTGAAGAAGTAAAGGTAATGTAGCATTTTCTCAAAAAACTTCAAAAGTGTCAATAACCAGTAATCGTAGAAGAAAGAAGTCTTGTTTGGTAGCCTCAAAAGTGGCTCAAATAGTTGTCTTGATTCTATTCTCGTGAGGGGCTACTGGGTTTTCTGAAGCCTGTCAATATAGGTGCATTTGAGAAATCATATCGGATATCATATAAAAAGGTAGGGGAAGGCCGGTTAGACAGAAGGTAAATATTTTCAAAATACAAATCACATTCCAAATCCAAGAAACTGTGGTTGGCCTTATACCGTCCAACAGACGCTATTAGACTCGTTGACCAAAATATGCGTTATCCAGAGTTAGTGTACAGTTTGCAAATACGCGAATTGATTCAAACCTGACGCACAGTCCTACTGCACCTATTGCATTGTTCACTGAAGATGAGATAGAGGAAAACCATTATATTGAAACACCCACCCGGTGACAATGAAGTAGAAAGAACAGCATTCTTCTAATCCGTACATTCGGATTGTATTGATGCGACTGCTGACGTAGTCAGCTAACGTTGATAAAATCAACATAATGAGTCCCAGAATGACATGACATTGTGCCAGCGCCTAAAAACATAGCATAACCTTTGCAGGCAGCTTTCGCAAAGGCTTATGGGCGTGCAATCATAAGCAACCACTACCTTCAAAACCGAAAGCATCTTGACTGTGCTGGTTTCGGATAGTCGAGCTCCTTTTAGGTAGTTCAACTGCATCCTAAAATACAGACTTTTCAGGAAGACTTTGTAAATTTCTTCTCGAAAATACAGTAAACTCGAAGGAATTTGCTTCACTAGTGGAGCGATAATAGTTTGAGAGTCTCTGTGCCTCATTGTTTAACCATTTTTTTTCGTTGAAGTCTCTGTTTTACCAAGCAGCCTGATGAGGAATGCGATAAGCATACCGCATGACATCGTACATCTTTCGCCATGGCTCTCTAGGGGAGTGCTCAAGGATGGCAGTCACGCAGCATATGAAAGAGTCATATTCCGTGCATGACGTAATTTCAATCAGCTTTGAACACTATGATTAATCTCTTCACTACTAATTTGACCGAAACCGTAACAAATGAAGTGAGATATGTTATTTTCCAATGTCACAACAGCTATTTGGACTTCAATTCAAACTCTTGTGAAAGCGGCTTTGCTACCACAGCACCATTAGCACAGCATTGCAAGGGTGTTCCAAGTACATTGAAACACTATGAAAAAAATAGCTTGTGCTGCAGCTGTTGACGTGATGATGTTAGTAAAGGTGCAAGATGTTTAGCTTTTACTGATGGATAAGAATTACATAAGAATAAACATTTATGCAATTAGGAAATAAGAAACCTGCTTTTCAACGGCAAAGAACTAAGCCTGCTTACATAAGAGTAGACTAGCGTCTGAAGAGGGAATTTTTCATGAATACATCAAATTCAGATTGGTTAGGAACCGGGAACCATGGATTCCTCAACATTCCTTCTCACTTTTGAACTCAGCAAATAAGGAACGACAAATGCATTAGACTATGTTCGGCTGACAACAGCATCAGCTCTTCTGATTAATCTAAAATGTAATGACACCGATGAACTCACAAATGATGGGGTGTGATCGCCGGCATGGCTGCGATGGCGCAATTAATTTTACGCCTCGACAATTAGAAAGAAGAATGACAACAAGGTTCAAGGGTAGAGGATGTGCGCCTTCTGCTACGTAACATGAACGGATCGGCAGTTGCAAGCACAGGTTCGCCACTCGAGAGACAGGGCAACAAAAGTGGGAGCGTTTTACCTTAGACGCATTGCAAAAAGTGATGGTGGTTTCTGATGTACTATGGTGATTTAAAAGTAAAAAGCACATTCTCCTGGTTGAAAACAGTTGTCAGCAGAAAGATTTTTGCCCAGAGCGTAATCCATGGGAAAACTAGCAAAGATGGTATATCTCTCATTTTTCATTCATTTTCTTTGTTTTTTAACCTATTCATGCATATTCCTCCAACGAGCTGAGAAGTTAGAAACACCACATAATAAACATATGAACAACACTGTCATGCAGCATTAGAGACCATTGAATAATAATAAATTTTCTTCACCAGGTGTGATGACTTTAGGCTTATGGTATAGCCTGAGTGCTCGGGCGTGATATGGCCCTTCTAAGCGAAGAACAAGGTGGTTCACTTAAAGGATA